ACACACGCCAAACCTGGTGACTTGTACACTTGTGTATTTATAAATAATGGAATTCTGAGCAGCTGTGACAGAGTATGTCAAAACATTATTGAGGCAGTCTCCCTTGACACCCCTGTTTTTCTTGTCTTTCCTCCACTTACCTCAGGCACCTGTGTCGCCCCTGCCATAACCGCGAGAAAGCCCGTGGCCTGGGCAAGTATATCTGCCAGAAGTGCCATGCCATCATTGAGGAGCAGCCTCTGATCTTTAAGAACGACCCCTATCACCCAGACCACTTCAACTGCAGCAACTGTGGGTCAGTGTTTTTCACCTATCGTGTCAGTTTAGTAGAGAAACGACACACTCTCAGGCTGATTATGTTTCAAATGCTCAAAACCTGTATTCTCTCTCTTATGTGCGTTACTATGTTTCTATGCAGTAAGGAACTGACAGTTGAAGCCAGGGAACTGAAGGGAGAGCTCTTCTGTTTGCCCTGCCACGACAAGATGGGTGTTCCAATCTGTGGAGCCTGTAGGAGACCCATCGAGGGCGTGTTGTCAATGCTATGGGCAAGCAGTGGCATGTGGAGGTTTGTTAGCAAGAATGAGACTATAAATACTTGAAACAATTAAAAGTTCCTGTCGCTGTTTGTTGTTTGAAGAGCTAGTTTAAACAGGGAGTTTAATTCTAAAGAAAACTTGGTCATTAAAAGTTTACCTTAGTAATCATGACCTTTTTTTTTTGCTGTGGCCATGATGGACATAATCTTTCCAATGAGTGGATGTGTTGTCCAGATTCCCAGAGAGAGGTTTCAGCTTTAGAGAGTATGCATTCAAAAAAAAAACACATGCATAAACGAAAGTGGCTAAATGTTTCACAGATTACCTTTTTATCCATGATGTTAAGCGTAATGTTTGTCGCCATTGCGCCAAATTCACAAGCACAGGAAAATAGAATTCATGAAAAAGCCTCATCAGAACCAATGAACTAGTAATGAGCTGATTTGAGGCAGGAGGACGTCTTTAGAAAATGACTTCTTCCTCATCAAGCTGTATGTTCGTCCATCTGGAGGCTGCCAAATTTTGTACCATTCAAATAAAAGACATTAAATTAAGTACTTTTATTATTAATATTACAGAGATATTGATAGGGAAACAACAAAACAAAAATGAAAGCTTACTATGGAAATAGTTATTTTTACAGTTTAAGTCTATAACATAAATATATTCATGTAATGCTCGTGAAATATTCATTATTCAGACTACTAAAAAGAAATGAGCTCCCTCTCATGTGTGTTGACATCTGCTCCTCTTTCACGTGCCTTCATTAAGGGTTTTCCCTCTTTCCCTCAGCAACATTTGTTTTTGTTTACAGCATTTTGTGTGTGCCAAGTGTGAGAAGCCGTTCCTCGGTCATCGGCATTACGAGAGGAAGGGGCTGGCTTACTGTGAGACTCATTACAACCAGGTAAGGAACAAGGAGCCAAATCATGTCAAGGTTTTTTGGGGGACACGACAAAGCGTCATGTCTCAAATAACACAATGCAATAAATCCCTCATTGCTCTGCGTAAGGAAAAGTATGTTTGCTGTACATAAACATAAATCTTCTTGTTCCGCTGTCCAGCTCTTTGGAGACGTGTGCTACCACTGCAACCGTGTGATTGAAGGTGATGGTGAGTACAACTACAGTATGATAACGCTCTTATTTTGACATTTTTTTGTAGACATTTACATTAAATTTTGCTTGCAGATTTCTAGGAGCTGGATTTTAATCATTTTATTTTTTTCTTTGTGTTCCATCAGTGGTGTCTGCTCTCAACAAGGCCTGGTGTGTCAGTTGTTTCTCCTGCTCCACCTGCAACACCAAACTCACTCTCAAGTAAGTGATGTGGCTCATTAATTGCTTCTTTAACTTTTTGTGTACAATACTAACAGCCAATTGTTTGTTGCCTCGATCTGTAACAATGTAAACATGACTTTAACCACTACTTTAATGTTTAAACCTGTCTTTGTGTATTTCACTCTCTGGCTACAACTCGTCCCTCTTTTTTCCTTTCCCTCCAATTTCTCCTCTTAACACGCTTCACTTGCTGCTTCCATGGTAACGCAGAGATAAGTTTGTTGAAATTGACCTGAGTCCAGTGTGCAAGCACTGCTATGAGCGCATGCCTGAGGAGCTAAAACGGCGTCTGGCCCGACGTGAGCGCAATGCCAAAGGCCACAAGAAAAAACCTGCTTCGAGTCTGTAGAGTTATTATTCTTAACAACTCAGCACTCCATCTCTTGGTGTGTTCTTCCTCTGCTTTCCTCTTTTTCTGTGCTGTTCCTTGTTTACTCCTATGGCATGCTTTTTGGTTTTACACAAACACAAAAGTGTGCATGTATTATATTGTGTGTGTGTGTGTATATATATATATATATATATATATATATACGTATATATAAAGCATGAGCTTTTCTTCATTGATTTATTAGGTGTGAGGCTGCAACTAATGATTATTTTGTTTATTGATTGTTTCATTTTTTTTTTAATCAGACACCCATTTAGTAATTTTCAGAGTTCAGGGCTTCTGCAATGATTTTCATCTTTAGTCAATCAACGATTTACTCTGAAATTATACGACAAAAAACGAAAACTAAAATCTACAGAGACACTACTTGATCAAACGAGTAGAAACAAATTGCATCAATTCAACAACATTACCAGTATAAGACCAAAAAAAAACAAACCATCTTGTGCATACAGTTAACACAACCACATGCAGAAATGAAGTGACACTGAACAGATAAGAAACGAGTTTAATGCACAATGCGTTCATCTAGCTCAACATTCATATTGCATGATTGAGATAAGTAAACTAGTGTTCAGTAAAATACTTGAAGCTGCATAATCTCAATAATGCCATGGCAGATTTGAAAGCTTAAACATGTAATTTGTTCATTTCCTAACACCAGTAAAGGATGATCAAACTATTTAACTTCATGAGCCACAAACCACAGCAACAAGTAACCTGTCCCGAGCGTGTAGAGCCACGTTTATCCTTCAGTTTCCCAGTTGCATCTTCTTAGTGGCACAAAGCATTGATTGTATTTGTTTTATATTCCTAATGCTGCATGTTCTGTTCAATCAGTTAAGATGTTTCTAAATGTGCTTTTTAAGTTAAATGGTTAAGTGATTAACAAAACAATTACAGATTAATTTTCTGTGAGCTGATTAGAGGTTTTGTTAGGATGAGTAAAGTTACTGCTGTTGCTCATTGCACTAAAGGTCAAAACTCATTGGTTATCATAGTAATTCCACACTTGAAGATTGACATTGCTGCCTAATAGAATTTAAAACAAGAGGTTGTGTCTTCAGATAAAGTTAACCTGATGTCAAGATATTTCTCGGATATCAATGATTCATGCTGGAGGGAAATGTAAAATGAAAATGTTGAATTTTTGGCACTGACATGGTCTTCTTTTTTCTTTCTTTTTTTCAGGAACAAATTTGTTGAGTTTGACATGAAGCCCGTTTGTAAAAAGTGTTATGAGAAGTTCCCCCTGGAGCTGAAGAAAAGGCTGAAGAAGCTGGCTGAGTCATTAGGACGCAAGTGAGCTGCTTCCAACCAAACAATGTGGAAGTGTTCCTACTAATGCCTGCGATGCTAAAATATCAACGAGTGCTTCTGCTTCACAACATAAAGACCCACAATCAAACATGATATGAGTGTTTGTCATTTCAATCTGTGATCCATTTCAAACGTATACATGTCAATCACTGTGCTGTTGTCTAAAAGTTGCTTATTAGATGCTTTCTGTTGTTTGTTTTTATACACAGTTTGGTTTAATTTTTTTACTTATTCCTAAATTGTCCACTTCTAGTTATTTTAAACAAGACATTTGTTGTGCCGTTATATTTTGATTTTACCCAGAAGCCTACTAAAGTAAAGTAGCTAACTTCTATATATATATATATCGTAGATTAAAATAAGATTTTCTTGAACTTGAATAGACTGTTGTTTGGCATTATATTGAATAACCCTTGTGCCTTGATATATATATATATATATATATATATATATATATATATATACTATGTGTCTTAAAGAACAAATAATGGTTCAAATCTAACTGGCATACAGACATCCAACAGTTTAGCCTTAGTTTATATATCTTATCTAGAGAAAGTATATACTAAAAGCTAACTTTTACTAGCCTTGTTGCCATTTCAGATTGTATTCTTCCAGTATGTGTGAACAGTAACAAAGCAGACACTTTATTCTTTAGGATTCTGTGATTCTTCATTTCTGATTTAAGAAATAAACATTTTCTGGAAAAGGTAATCTGTCCCGTGACACTTTTATTATTTAGTTTAAATGTTTAGTATACCTGCACTGTTGTTAATTTACTGCTCTGTGTGCCTTTGAATTGCCCCCCCCACCCCCCCACCCCGGGGACAAATAAAGAATTTTGAATTTGAATTTGTAATATGGGTTATTACTGGAAGCCTCAATCAACGACCAAGTGTTAGATAATCCACTGGATATGTTAATACTAATCTGTTTCCAACATATATTTGATCTTAGATAATGATGTATACTGTGTAGGTCTCTGTTCATGTGTTGAGCTACAGAGGTTCTAATGTTCAGGTAAATAGTTCATGAAGAATTACTCCCTAGCTGTTCATCTGCACTGATGGTCCCTGGCTCCCAGTGTGATAAAACATGAATATTTGGTTTGGACAAGAAATGCTGCAAAAAGATAATTTTCCAGTTACTAACAGGTGCTGAGACACATATTTACTGTACACTTTCACTAATATGTTTGGCTGGTACTGTAAATGCCCGAGGTTATTATTCTGATATTTTTAGACGGATGAACCTTTTCAGCTTTCTGAGGGAAACAAGTTCAAAGGAATCCGGATGAAATTAACCTTCAGCTGACTTTTTTTTTTTTTTTTTTACTTTGATGTTCGAATATCATTGGTGAATCAGCATATTCCTAGTGCTCCTTTTAACCTGACCAAGTACCCAACAACACTTTGATGAGCAGTTTAATTATTGCACACATAAGCTTACATTTCATTTGCTGCCTGACCTGTTTCAATGATTAGCATTAAAAAGAGCATTATGGTTTACTGGAGCTTATACTTACGCTGTATTTTATTATCTTCATTATCAGTAAATTATATCTAAAATCAATCTATGTCAATTGTAAGAAAATATATACAGAAGCTACTACAGCTTTTCTTAAACCTAAATGTTCAGTTCTTTTATTTTTTACAGTACAAGAGATTCAAAATTCTAGCATGCTTTTATGTTTTTTGTAAAGGCACAGAACACATTCTTTATGGTATTAGAAAATGTAGCAACAAGGACAACACATTATTAAAGTTTTATGCATGAGTAAATTACAGCTTTTCACAGATATTTTGGTTAATCTTTATGTTTTTCCTTTTCTTAACATATTTCACAGCTTGTTTGTCGCCCTGCTAACTTTCAATTTCCACCTTCCATAGCACATTTAATTATAAAAATACAGCAGTGTTGTCCAGGCCCTTTTCACAACAAACATTTTGACTTGTTAGAATATACTGTATTAAAAGCACAGGTGTTATTGAAATCTTACATATTTAAATCACAATATTAGAGATGCCAGACTTCATGGCTCTGTCGTGGATTCCTACATGCAGTTCTTAACCAGACTGGGGTTAGACGAGTAATGCTGGGCAGCATGTAATCGAGACAGCCGGTTCTGAGGGTGAGGAGGAGTTGACGTTGTTTTCTTGTATTGTGGTCGGAGCTGCGTTGGCAAGTGTGGAAGGAAGTGCAGTCTGAAAGTTGCCCATTCACCAAAGGTCATATTCAGGAGGTCCTTAAGATCATCTGCATCACCAAAGATCAGTGCCGAACCACTGAGGTTATTCCTCTTCACAATATCAATATACTCAGGAGGATATTTCAACCTCTGCAACTGGGAAAACAAGAATATTTTAATGTTAAACATGCAGAGGAGAACAAGATGTAGTCCCATAGTATTCACTTATATGACATGATGGATCTGAAAATACTTTTCTTTTGCATTTTCAAGAGTTCATAAGTTCTGTTTAGTTCCGTTTTGTGAGGTTGAAGAATCTAATCAACTAATACAGCATTGTTACAAAATGTACTAAAATCAGACCATAAACTTTAAGATGTTTATGAAATGAATCCCAGCATTAATACATTTATGTTCCGCATTTTCAGAAAATGCCATTTAAGGTTTTAACATCTTAATAGTTTGGTTCAATGTAATGCTTGAAACTGCATACTTTATTAAAATCGTCAACCCCACACAAGGTTTTCCAGGAGATGGAGCAGCATTCAGTTAACAGCCTCAATGTTTACTGTTAATCCGTTCATCTCTTTATCTGTATCTAAATTAAATTGCTGCTTAAAACTAGAAGAATGAATGTGGTGACAAATGGGGTGTCATTGATTGCAAAGAAATGCAACGTACGGTATTTGCAAATGAGACAGTAAAAGTTGTTTATTCACTGCATGTTTGAAGAGCACATCTAGCTTAATATTTCAGAAAGTAGTGGAACAAGAAAAAGCAGCCACTGTGAGGGTTTGAATAAAGAGCTGCCAACAACAAGCTGTACACCTCCAACTGCTCAGCAGGGAAACCAAATCCACTATGCCCTTCTGCTGTGCAGAAAAATACTCACGCTGTGTGAAAATCATCTTGTAGTTTCTCATGGTATGAATGGAAGACTAATTATTGGCTGACTTTCTCATTCAACGAAGAAGAGTTTTTGTTAGGCTGCTCTTTAAACCGATACACAAGATGTTCTTCTGTTGTAACACTGATAACGCAGCTGCTCAGCAAGTGTTGTTTTCTTTGATTACCCAGCATTTGTTTGTTCCCACCAGTCACCATGGATACTTCCAGGTCAAGCTAGTCTGAAATCTTTCGAAGGGTCTTACCTCTTCACAAACATCCTCTTTATCCATTTTGATGATGGTTGCGATTGGCAGAGGAGCAAGGTCCCTCATCCAGCCAGAATCTTTCAGACTGGATGTCCCTCTGATCTGAGCCAGCTCCTTCCTGATCGAATGATCCAAGTTCACCGTCGCCAGTTCAAAAGTCTTCAAATTCTTCACAGTGAATTTGAAATCAACTTTGAGGATCCTCTCAAACATCTCAGGATCTCCGTCTTGCTCGAGGAGGTCCTCGATCTGTGAACTCATCACGTACAACTCTGCCCTGGACTCGGTGAAGACGTCCCATAAGGTCTTTGACTCATCAGTGTTGTCCACTTTCTTCCCATCGATATCTGCTCTCTGCTGAGCGTCTTCCACACACTGGATGATCCAGCTGAGGCGACAGGGCCACTCATTGGCCAAGACCACCCATGCTGCAATGTATTCTGGTGGAGGAAGTTCTTCATTTAAGGCCTTCATGATTATCACGGTCACTCTGATGGAGTTGATCACCCTCCTCATGGACATGGCATCATCTACCATGTACTGGTTTAGATTCCTTTCATTGCTGGCCAAGACACTCCTCACAAATTTCTCCACTTCCTCCTCCTTTACATCCGGTGCCGCAGTAGATTTATCAATCAATGGCTTTGACTCTTTGGTTTCCAAGACAATTTCCATTAATGATACATCGGAGGAAGATTTCTCATTCCGACCCCCAGTTCTACATCCGTCTTTGGAATTTTTGGTCAGGCTGTCAAACAAACTGCGCTTTGAATCGTCACCCAGTGGAGGGACTGTGAAGGCCAGTGTCACGATAGAGTTCAGCAGTGCATAAGCTCTGTCCTCTTTGCTGAAGCATCCATCTGCAAAGTTCACCTTCTGTACAAGAACAGCAGGGTTGACGGCCAGAATGGAAATAAAGGGACTCTCTTCTTCTGAAAGCAGTATGTTGATTGCATCCAGAACTGAAACGATTTTCTTCGGAGAGCACCGATCTAGATTGGTGATCTTTAGTACAACTCGGATCCTCCTCCTCTCGAATACCTCCATAAACTGGATAAAACATTTCAGAAACCACATTTCCTTCCTCACTTCGTTCATGAAACCCAGTTGGCTGCTGACCTTTTCATTGTCCATCCCACTCTTGATGTTCAGATCCTGGCTGAAGATGAGGTTCTTGCCCATCTGATAGGCAAACCTCAATGCGCTTGCAGCAGGGACTCCTAACGCAGCAATGAACAGACCCTCGAGAACACCCACTTGGCCCTTTGTGTTATTCTCCCCCTCATCTGGTTTTATCTCAGGTTTGGCAGGACCAAGAGTCAACATGACTACCAGGATTACCATTGGTACTATGAGAATGGACAGCAGGAGAAACCACAGAGGGCAGCAGCAAATCTTTATGGACCTCCAATCGTTTCGACTATCCTCCACTTTCTGCAACAAGAAAATACAGAACCAAGAGAAGCATGTTATACATCACTTACACTGTTTGTTTGTTTGTAAAGATTTATTTTGTGTCTTTTTATGCCTTTATTGTAGTGATAGGACAGTGGATAGAGTCGTGAATCTGGGACAGAAAGAGTGGGGAAAGACATGTCGGAAAGGAGCCACAGGTCTGATTTGAGCCCGTCTGCCCGCTCCGGGGACTACCTCTCTGTATGGAGCACGCGTCCTATCGACTTGGCCACAGCACTTTCATATTTTTGTTACAATAGCAATTTGGGTGTATAAACGGTTGGCTAAACTTTTAGGTTTCAAAACGATATATCTATTAAATAGTACATATTTTTGTACCTACATTTATAGTGTAGACAGTAAATCCCAATGACTTTGAGAAATATCTCCGCTTATGGATAGATTGTATTGATATTTGGTTCAATGTTCATGTTCCTCTAAGGATAAATAAGCAATTATTTCCATCAAAGGTTGCAACGGAAGTGGTGAATGTAATACTTTTATGACCAAATATATGAAAAAAAAAATCACAAACCTTTTTCAGGACTTCCTTTTCTTCATCATGTTGAGCAACACGGTATAGTACAAGCTGTAATTTCCCAAAGCTCATCTGCATGGCACGTAACAGTCGTATGGCAATCCCAGCCCATAGCAGGTCACTGCCTGCAAAGTGCCAGGCACTAAAATGTACATAAATGAACCTGACGTTATGGTGCTGCTGGTTCTCTTCAGTCCAAATGGGCCTACAGAAGAGCAGTCGGAAAATGAGCCATAGAAAGTCAGTGACTGAGGGAGGAATTGAGCGGGGCTTGGATCTCCCTTCATGTTCCTGCTCAATCCTCAAAGTTTCCCTCTTCATGTGAACTGAAACAAACAAAAAAATAAAAAACACAGTATTACAGGTAGCTAAGGTAATTGAGCGAGCTGGTAAATCTAAGGACAAACCTATGACAACTAAAACAACATGTGGGTATTGGCAGAGATGTAAAGAAGACAATGGAGTTAAGGTTTTTAAGTTAGTAAATTGGTTAGTTTTACTTATTTTGCGTTTGACAACTATGATAGGCCTATAATATGGCAGTTCACCCAAAACCAGTCACAGGGAAAATAAACACCTTGAGTTTCCTACAGAAACACAGACATGAAAAGGAATTTGTTTTTCCCCAGGAATTTTAAAATGTAAAATACTTACAATTTTTTTAAAAATACTTTGATATTGACATCAAGCTAGCTTATGTTATATTTATATTACTATTTTTATTTACCGGTAAGTAGCCTAGCTAACTGTAACGATTGATTATTTATGGGACCCCTGCTGGTTGGTTTTTATACTTGCAGGACGTTATGATGCAGGTGTGGGACTAAAAACAAACTTAATTCTGAGTGAGTCTGTTTAGTCTAGAAGTTAATTCATATGATTTAATCGGTTCAGTGAAAACAAGTCTGTTAAATATAGAGTGTGAAAGTTAACTGTTACACAGAAAGTAGCCTACACCATTACTTTTAATAGGTAAGAAACGAGGGAAAGTGGATTATATTGGTTACTATCATGGACAACTTCCAGCAAAGGGGACGCTAACATGGAGAAATCGTGATGCCACAGATGGAGGGACGATGAAGAGGAAAGGGGAAAAGAGGACTGTCTGAAGAAGCAGCATTAAAACTGTAAGTAAGCCTCATGAGCTGTAATATGTTTCTTTAGTCTTGCTGAGCTGAGTACCCACAGGTTAATGTTAGTTAAAGCTGTCACGCAACTGCAAATTCACTTGCTGGACTTTAAAGTATTCAACCAAAGCAGTGCTATGGACATAAGCTGAATTATTTTGTGTGAACTTTGGTTCTTGTTGTTGTTGTTGTTGTTGTTGTTGTTGTTGTTTACTTGTTTTCTGCCTTTGTTTAGTTCAATTTTGCACATGATTGTGCTTGCTGTGCACATTTAGTAACGTGAAATTGGATTATATTCCCAGGATAATTGAATGGTTTTCAGTAGTAATGCCATCTTTTGTGGTTTTTGTGTCAGTTATCATCATTGTGTCATTAGTATCATAAGCACACAGTCCAGCCTTCTGTAGTTCCCCTAGTTATGAGACATTTCTTAAATAACAGTAGCATACTTATTGGTAGTCTTACAAAAACTGGAAGCATCATGTTTTATCTGGATATGTGAACATAGAACTTGGTCTTAGGTGTGCAATATATATATATATTTTTTTTTTTAACCAAGGTTTGAGAAATAAATCATTGTGACAACCTTACAGTGCACCATGTATACTGCAAGACCTTTTAGGTAACATAAAGAAACAACCTTCTTTTCTTTTGGAGCTCTTCACTGAAAGGACCACGTACTGTTGCACCTGCTTGTCTTTTTTTCATCAGTTGAAAATATGCTCATGAATTTTCAGTCAGGGATTTAAAACACAGTTTGATTCTGTGTGTTTTGCTTGCATTTCCTCTGTTAAAGTCATCTGTGATGGGGATTGTTTGGATGGTATGGACACTCTGAGAGTGGCACACATTCTCTTGAAGGCAACTATGGATATTTACTACTATTTACCACCTTTCATATAAAACATTAGTGTTCTTATTCTGATTGCCAGGATATATATGCAGTGTTAAGGAGAATTTGTGAATGTGTGTACTAAAGGCAAAAGAGATCCCCTACAGGCCTGAAGGACAGAAATACAATGTCCACTTTTCAATCAATCATTCGGTTGTGAAAAACTAATTAAAGCAGCAGCCAGCTCTGAGGAGCTGCACAGGTCGGTCACAGGCTCAGTCATAGCTCACTGATTTTCTGACTGCAGTGGCAAAGTCAGTGCAAGAAACAAACGTGAAGTTTATATTGTTGCATTTTTTAAAAGATTTCAACATGGGATTGTGATACGTGCAAATGTGTTTTTCTCCTCTTTTTTCTACTTGATTGGCAACATTAATTCTGTTTTTTGTATATTTACTTATTTTTACATCTCAGTTGGGCTGATGTATTATGTATTAGGTCATACAAATAGCAAAAGCTTGTTCAAAGCTTGTTTTGTTGTTTCATACAAATATGATATGTTACAAGGGGTACACCCTGTTTGTGCTTGTTAAGTTTTTGTTGTTCCGCTTGTGATCTTTGGGTAGATCTGCTGCTCTGTCGGGAATAGAGAAAATGGTTTTCTATCATTATGCCCTCAGGGATGATAGTTGAAAATACTGTTCTTAATTACACTTAAATGAAATTTGTAAGCACTCATTGGTGTGTGTTGGTACCCATAAGGTAATTAAGGGAAATGTGAGGTTAATGTTTTGTTATTCTGAACCATTTGAAGGCCTGATCTCTTCCTACACTTACCTGGGCAGGTGCTAGGTTCCAGTTAGAGGAGGCTGAGAATGTAAAGTTTCATTCATTAAAGCAGTGGCAGGAAAGAGATGACAGCTTTAAGAAAAAGCTAAAGACCCAGCTCTTTCATGAATACCTACTAACTTAATGATGATGGTCTCGATATTATTGATGATGATGATGGTAATGACGATTGTTTTTGTTTGATAACGACGACTTATAAGATGGTTTCTATACTGATTAGAGCTCTCAAGAACTGCTGTCAATGTTGTGCTTTGCCTCTGTGCAATGCCTGGCACAGTGTGTCCAATCGGACTTAAAGCTGATCGTTTGCTCTTACTGACATTGTTCCCCTTTTTTTTTATAGATTCTTGCTTGTGTTGTACTTACTCTCTGATGTACGTCGCTTTGGTTAAAAGCGTCTGCTAAGTGAATTGTAGAATTGTAGCTTGCAGTTCCTTTTTTTGTTTCAGCCTTACTTAGTTTTCTTGAATTTTCCTGAGTCTGTTTTTTCTCTCTCCTCTTTTTCAGCTATCTTTTTGCAAACAAATGCCACTTTTTTTTTTTTTTTTTTAACTGCCTGTTGACCTTTTCTTTGACATCTCTTTTTAAAAAAAGTTTTTCCAATGCCTGTGGCGCTACATGCTGCCACAGCATTTCTGTTGCTAACAGGTGCAGTTTCCACGGTCAACATACCATAATTTCACACACTGCAGTTGTGTTTACAGCTAACACTGGGTGGTGAAAACAGAAAACAAACACAGTGTGGGAGTCATTCCAAGTTTACTTTTCTGTGTTTGGTGCCCATGTAAGAATTTTTTTAAGTCCTTTGACCCATGGACCATAGACGCACTGAAATCACATGATTTTAAGTGGTGAAAGATACAATATGCTGGGGTACACAAAGTTATAACATAACATACTTTCCATTCGCCTGAGAATCATGCTTGTTCGGTTCTCACATGAAGAGTAGAGTCCCACAGTCGCAGGTGAGGAAACCTTTGTCAGAGTCTTTGACAGTGCATATGCATAAATCTCATCTAGAAGGAGATACAAAAAACAGCATGCATTACTCACTCAGCTGAGGAGTCACATTTAGTTTTGTAAACACTTAATAATAATTCACGCTTTATTTCCACAGTCTGCTGTTGGCAAAAAGCATTGCACATAATCTAAGATGAAAGATTATCTGACACACCCATTCGAATAATGAGTCACATGAAAAACTGAGACAACTGGATCCTCCGGTAACCACGCTCACAGGATTAATGATTACCCAAAACATACCTTTAGCTTATTAATACTGAACTACGTGTCAACAACTGGGGAATGAAAGTGTGATTCATACAGGCAGATTGGTGAGCATTCACACACGTCTCAGGAAAATGTTCTCTTTAAACTCTAAAGTTGTTGCTGTCATTTTGTTTTTAAGCAACTGTCATCATTAGCTGTGAAAAGAAAAAGAAGGGTGAAGACTCGAGAAGAACATTTTTTTTTTATGTGGCAGACATATCTTGAATAATGTTATGGTGATAAAATCTCTGTATTCAGAGTCTCTATTATATAGGCTAGACCAAGTGTCTTCTCAGAATCCTGACTGTCAGTAGCAGCCAGATACTTTGGTAAGTAATTAAAATGCAAAATGCAACTAAAAACTCTAAAGGAACCAAATCTTACTACACACTGCAAAATGCACAAGTACAAACCAACCTTGACTGCTGGTTTAATCATTATACAAACAAACACCATGAAAAAGAACAGCACAAGGGACAATTGTTTCCTTATATCTTCCATTAATATGACATAATGATGACTGTAATAATAATGGAGAAGGGGCATTGACAACAACGATGGGGCTTATGTTTATATATTTTAAGCCTATGTTAGAAAAGCACATGTGTTTATTTTCAGGAAAAATTGAAACTGAAAATAAAAATGGAGCAGCTCTAAGCAGTAGGGGACAGAGCTGTGCCACATTACCTGCAGGGATCTTACCTTTTGTCGGCTTATGCATGATGACCGTGTGGTGGGCTGACGTGCAGCTTTCACAGAGAAATCCCTTTGACCTGGAGAGAAAAGGAAGCAGCAGGGACCTCAGTGCCTGCAGTGGAGGGGTGTGTGTGAATGTGCGGGTATGGGTGTTGCTTTCTGTACAAATTCCCTGTCCTTCTTTACATCACTACCATGTGTTTATGCAACAGAGGAGGGTTCATAACAACGACATTTAACATTTTTGCACCATTTGTAATTAGTCCTGACAAACAACTTCTGTTTCTACAGTTGATGGAGAGGATACATATTCTTAAAGATGTGGAAAAACTTAGGTAACAGTCACCTGAAGCACAATTAGGATTGCTGCTCTAAGAGAATTATGGGCTGTAACTGAAATCTCTTAATTGTTAAGGGAAGACATTTCAACAGCTATAAATGCATCTTAAATACAGGCAGGTAGTGTTATTTTAGCACTTATATAGTAGCTGCAACTCAGCTGTTGTGAAAAGACACTATAGCCAGGACTTGAGGAGGCCTGACAGAGTAAGTGTTGATAAATGCAAAGTATGTCATATGGAGCAGACAGAGGTGTTTTCAGCCTCCAGTGAGTGGAGCTCTGAAGCAAAAAAAAAACCTCCTGATTTGTTCTCTGTTGATTCACTACTCTCAGTTTAACTTGAGGATTTGCTGTTAAGGATTTTTGAGCTCATGTACTGAACTCCTCGACAGCTAAATGAAAAAAACAACAATGTGTGAATTGCACGTCCTTAAGAACGCTTACATTGCAGAAAGAGAGAAATTCATAGCCCACAGTGATTACATTTTGCTGTTTCTGATTGATGGCCGTTTAAGTGAGTTTTTTTCTAAAGAAGATAGCTGACATTCATGCACGTGTACACAGCATCTAGAGTCTAGGCATTTTTTTTATGATCTTGGAAATGTCAACAGTTTTGCTGTGTCAATGATTACCTGACATTACCTTCTCCATTTCCCCGCTGGCAACATAGTTTAGGGTCTTTGTGTTCTTGCCTGTACTTGCCTAGTAAGCTACATAGTAGTTTTACATGCAGTTTAAAATACCACATACAAGCCAGAAACCACATACAAGCCAGAAACACCTAGGTTTTTGCTTATGTTCATATTTAACTTTAATGGTGCAACCTATGATCAGTGTGGAATAAAATACTCTTTACTGCAACCGTAAAAGTTGAATTATACCATAATCTGCAATAAAATAACGACTGATATGTTATTTCGAAGTCAAATCCAGATACAGATCAAACAGGCTTACCTGTTTGAGTTCCAAATGTCAGTTCTGATCTATATTTTGAATAATCTCGAATCCCTTCTTTCAATATCCAGCAGACAGAGAGGACAATATAGCAGCAGCTAAGACGTCTGTGAACGTCAAACCACCGAAACTTCCCTGCTGTAAAACTTAACAACACTGATATCAGAGGGGAGAAAAAAGCACCTGATAACCACAGTCTGCAGTCTGTCTTTAGGCCGGTCACTCTCCAGGAAGTGCTTCAACATACAAGATGAAATTATTTCTCAGGGATGCAGCTGTACGTTTCTTCCATTCCTCCTCTTTCAGTCCCTCAGCTCCATCGTCCTGCTCCCAATCTTCTCTCTATTCATAGAATCGCAGTGAAGTGGGTAGTTCCTGAAAGCATTACGAGCTAGTAAAATCCTCATTCTTGCTATAGCTCGTGGCGTTCACAGTCCAACTTTTTTCCGTCTGTGGAAAAATGGAACAAATGAGTGATTTCATGCCGGAGCCCGGGGTCTGCATGATTCATGAACTGAATTCCAAGTTTGGAGTCCCCCAGGTTGAGAATGGCTGGATTGCTGTTCATGGCCTGAACTGACACGCAGAGCAGTTAAGATGCCAAAGCATGCAGCACCAAAGTGTGTGTTTGCCCGGAGCAGGATTTGTTATGACATGACTGGTTAGTCAAGCTTTGAGAAACAAGCTAGAAGCCTAATTTAATTTGGCATATTTTTTGGGGGGGAATTAGCCTACTTTTGTCATTTGGTGTCGAATAAACTTTGGAAACCTATGTCTTAAAAATAGGCATCATTTACTTTACAATATTTAATTTAAAGAATGTACACAACTATGTTTTCCTTTTGATGACGGCAGAAATGACAATACCTCACATGAAGCTCACTCTTAAAAAATAGATTTCTCACCATGACTCTTTTCGATTATAAAAATGTATACTGTTGTGTAAAGAGCTCTGTGGGCACAGCTATGTTCAGGTACATTAGCTTTAGGAGCAGGCAGGTTTAATGGTAATGACTCCCTCTTTTTTATATGAGTTCAGAGAAAGTGAAACTTGAAAATGTAATGTATGTTTGTCACTTGTTATATGATGATTTAAGGGCTAAATTTTTAAGGGAAATATGCAATAACATTTTTGATGGCAGATTGTTTGTGGCAGATTTTATTTGTTGATCCAATGATAGGAAAACGAAGTTACATACGTTTGCAATTGCAATATGTAATAAGTTATGTTGTGCTATGATTTTCCATTGCTGCAGATCTTGATGATCACTCAGGCTTTTCTATTATATGTGCAACTGACTGTGCAAAAATGCACAAACCAAACAAACACATGTTGATCATTTTGTCTTTTTAAACATCACAACTAAGCATTAGGTGTCACCCAACACTGCATATAACCTCATACACACAACTGTCAGAGCAAACATACTTAATTTATGACTAGTTGTTGAATAAAGTTAAATTAGTGAACGTCTGATTAAGATTTAAAGGGCTTGGCCTGAGGGCAACTAATTTTGCCTTTACTCCGACTACCTGATTGTGCAACTTCTTTAATTAACTTGACTGTGAGAGAGAGAGAGAGGGAATGTGTGTTTCAGTATGTGTGTGTGTGTAAGTGAGTGGGCACACACACACACACACACGCGCGCACAGTTATCGCTTGTCCACAGGTCTTTTACAAACCAATACTGAATCAATTGGATGGTATCTCCCTGTGTGTGAACCCCCAGCACACTGCAGCCTTTCACTAAGTAAAGCTTCCAATTAAGGTTAACTAATTCACCTGCATGATCAATCCAAGATAGGTATCAGACACAGATAAATTATTTTCCAGGATTGGGCAGGCTTGGAGTGATTTTTGCTAAAGGCGAGGGGAAATTAAACCAACATTGTAATATGTTGGGTTCAGGGGATGACAATTATTTTCTGTCAGGAGCTGGGTGGAAATGTGCTCACCAAAAGCTCATTTGTATGAACTTTGCTGCATACATAAGATGAAAACGGTTGTAATCCTTAAACCAACAGAGGGCGCTAAAGTATAGTACATGAAAGCAGGACAATGACATATGATCCAGCTTCCCAGATCAAACTTCTCTGCTCTGTTTGGTATGTAGCACCAGTCCCGACATTGAAGGAGGCATTTATTGCAAACGGGGTGCGGTCAAGAGCTTAAGACGTGCTAGATGTTCTCCAGGATGGGCTGCTGGTCATTCAATGTAAATCAGTGTCTGCAGCACACACATTAACACACTGAAACACACACACTCAGCTATATCTCTCTGCCTCTAGTCCTTATCCATTGTTCCTAAAGGCAGACAAGCTTGGGTATTGACACGTGGCCTGACACCAGCTCTCCTGCCCGGCCTAATTGGCCTCAAGACCTCTTGTTGGTGTGATCTATTGATCAGCCTCACTGCAGATGCAGCTAAGCCACAGGGAGAGGACGGTGAAATAGCCAGATATACTGAAAGTAAGCACTACCAAATCTGAGCATGATGTCTTAAGCTTTGCCTCTCCCTCGTCATAGCTGTGCAGCAAGCTAAGACGATGATAAGGTCTTCACCCCGAGGTGCAAGGGTCCAGATTCTCGCCACAAGCTGATTCACACACACTGATTGTCCTTTATCGTTACTGAGGGGATGATGGCGCCAACAAATGGAGGTTTCTGAATGCCATGACCCCCCCCCCCCCTCCCCTAAAGATCTATAGACAGTGTCTGCTTTAACAATCCCACCAGAGACAGCGAGATGAAAACCCCTCCACTCTCGGGAGATCCATTTTTTGTTTGATACCTCTGCAACAAATATTAGGAGGGGTAAAGAAAGGGGGCTTTGAGATTGCAACAGAAGAGCTCTTCAGGGGCAGGGGTGAGCAAAATGGCATGCATGCTGATCTTGTATCTATCAGCGCAAACATCCAACACCTGATTATTTCTGCCTGCACCTTCAACCTCCTTCCCCATTCACATTCAGATCCCAGATCACACCATCTCCTTTCTCATCTCTTCCCGACCTCTCCTCCTCATCCTCTCCCTTCTCACCAAGTACAGCCATTTCATTGTAAATAGTGTCTATGCTTCTCCTGCCTCTTAATCCCGCTCCCTCATTCGGTACAGCCTTCTCTCAAATCCCAGAAAAACTCATGAGAGAAACATGCATGTGTTTATGAGGCCTGCCACACAATATGTCCTCTGCTACCTCGTAAAAGGCAATACATTCTTCTTCATGGGGGTGCACAAATTTCCTATTCTCTTTTGTGTGTGAGAGCTCCATTCCCATATGGAATTACATTTATGATGCATGACAAGGCTTACTATTCTCCATCTCCACTGGGCCGCTGAGAGTAACCAGAGCTGTCCAAAAGTCATGGCTGTGACAACGCAGATCATTATACATTTTCTCTCTGTGCGGCTGCCTCTCTGTATTCCTCTCCATGCCTCCATGAAATCTGTCTTTATCCCGCCCTGCCAGAGTGGAGCTACCAGGTGCAAAAATCCCAGCTCTCTCTGGGTGTTGTTGTTGGGACTGAGTGTCCACTCTTGGACCTTTTCACCAACACGCAGACTTACACGCATGTGTGCACACATTCACACCGCCCCGCTGATCCTGCCTCCTGTTTTATTGTCAATATCAGGCGGCTCAGGGGTGGCAGGGGTTGACGGCTGTTGACAGGGGCAGGATTGTCAAGGTAAAGATGATGGCAGCTCTTGCGGAGATGGAATAGCTGCATCTTGAGACCCCTTGGAGGGTGTTATTAGGCCGATATGAAATCTGCCCTCTATTGGACCCACATAGAAAGAAGGAGGGAGGATGCAGCGAGATGCAGCGCTAAATGTTGAGCCTCTCTTTCCCCCTTTCAGCTTCCTCTTATCTACCACGCTATCTTCACACACACATACAAACATGTTCAGCTTCAAACCACCTGTGTCTGTGTTTTTCAGTCAACACAGCGTGCAGTCTCCCTGCCTATTTGCACAGAGGAGTTGCTATATCATATAAGAAAGGGCACTAATCTTGTTTATTTTGTATATCCTGAACATGTACACCTGAGGGCTCACAGCATGCACTGCACCATGACACCAGGAACCTGCTGTCATGCTGCTCCAAAGCTCCTGACAGGATATCTAAGCTCACACAAGTGAGTTAACGGCTGTAGTAAGGTATGAGCCTTTAGTGCAAACAAATGTGCAAAAAGAGGTGACATACACGTGTCTACCATAACTGTTATGTCTTCAACAAGTCTGCAATATCAAAAAATCTTAATGCAAGAATCTATCATATATTGAGGGAATGCACAGCAGAGGAGCACAACTCAACATTCAAGGTATTTCTATTTGTATGCTTTCGTTTGATTTCCATCACTGAAGTGTCATGTGCATTTCGACTCCTTCAGCCTGTATGAATCATCTCTGACTCTCAACGTTTTTTGTTTTTTTTTGCCTCTAGCCATGCGCATGTTGAAGCCTTAGGGATGACAATTTTGGTCTCATGCTCAGTCTTATTCCCAGAATTAAATATCTATAGACAACTGTTGGATTGGATTGCTTTGATATTTTTATGCAGACAACCCTCAGAAACAAACCCAGAGGATGAATCCTTGATGACTTTTTGGATCCCTGTGATTTGTTATGTGTGGCCACCATAAGATTCACATGTTTGACGACATCACCATGAAATTTGTAGCATCAGTCATATTTCTTTTGGTTTATTGACAAATACTGTATGTGTAAAGCTATTGTGTATCTCAGCAGCTTAGATATACATTGTGTTCACTTCTTATATGTAAAATCATTACAACAAAATGCTAAAATTAGATAGTGAAGATGCCAGAAGTTGTTCTTGCTTTATGAGGTTGTGTGAGACTTACTCGCTGTCTGTCATTTTGACTGACAGGGTAAATAAAACCTGTCATAATGCTTATTTGAATTTACTTTGACTTCCTGTCTAAAATCCACATCACTTGTCACTGTGGAGCTACAGTTGGTTTGGTTAATGTTAGCATTCTCTAGCTAATTAGTTTTTCTGCTACA